GCAGGGACTGCTGCTGGGGTGGGAATGCAGGGACTGCTGCTGGGGTGGGAATGCAGTGCCCTGGCTGGGGGGGGAGCAGAGAGGGGCAGGGCAGGTTCTGCTCACTCAGAACGACTGTTTTCATTTGGGAGTCATACCCAGCTGGTACCAATGGGAAACTATGTGTGCCTGGGTGTCTTGTTGCACCCTTGTATGACAAATGGAATCCTGGTGTTATCCAAGCTGTTCGTTTGGAGAAAAAGGGGGGGGGAATCTTCCAGACATCAGTCAGTTTGTCTACCCTCAAAAAACATTTTTCAAGCTTTGACAAAATATTATTTTCAACTGCCATTTGAAAGTGAAATTGCATTGTGGCATTTTCATCTTCTGTGATCAGGGTGAGGAAGATCAAGCTGGAATTTTAGTTTGAATTTTTTTTTTCAGTGCTGATATAAACTCCCTGTGTTCAGATTCTTCCAGCAGTAGTGTTGCTGTTGAAAAGCATGGCCCACACCATAAAGACACTCTCAGAAGGAGGTTTGTTATATGGTCAGGCCGCTCCACATCTGTCATATTTCAAAGGGTTTATAACAAAGATGTGTAGAGAAGGTGGAATGTACAGTATGTTGCTTTGAATGGAAATGAGACCAAAGAGAGTTGTGTTAGAACAAATACACATTACTTCAAAGCTTTTTAAACTCTCTCAGGAGCCATCTCGTTTAAACCTATAATACATTGGAGGATTCTTATGAACGGGTCGTATCCATAATAATCAGTGGGGTAGTTCTACACATGACTGCAAAGTGAATGTTAATTTCAAATATTTACCAAGAAAGGTCTTTAAGTCATTGTTTATGAGAAATTGGGCTTTATCTGCATGGATGTTTTAGTAATTAGCTGGGTTTTATGGAATGCATGGCGGTGCTTTCACAGTTTTATCTCTCGTTCCAATCTTCTATTCATTTCTGGAATGCCAAAACAACATCTGTATTTCCTGCTGCAGAAGTGATTGGCAGCCATGTTTCAGGCAAATGCGTATAAGGAAAAACAAATGGCAAATTTCATCTGGTAAATGATATTTACAGACTTTAAAGTCAAAATGCTGGGTTTAAAGAATTGTGACGTGATGGATGTTAGGGGGAAGAAAGGGATAGGCTTGCAGTTTTGTGATTTGTCATGAGCTGTGGAGGAAAAACAGATTAGTCTTCATTAACATTTAGAATTGTAATTTCTGTTATCAGGTTAGACATAATGTTTCAGTTTGGATTTTTGCAGTAGACTTTGAAGTGGTTATTAGTACAGACAAAAGCATAAATGCACATTAATGTGCTGGTAATGGTATGTGTATTGAAGGAAATGGTAGCTAATACCAGAGTCTATCTAGCAACTTGCAAAAAAAGATAAGCTGGGAGAGAAGACTGGATTGTAGTAAATGCTAAAAAACTTTAGGGTAATGAAAATAATTGGAAAACTTTGAATGTGTGTGGTGGGGAATTCTTTTTTTCTGCTGAAAACTGGTTTTGAGAGTTTATTGAATGATTGCCTCCAAATTGGGCTTTGCAGGAGCACGACAAGTGTTGCACCTAAATAGGACCTGTAGGAATCCAAACTTCCCACATTTCACAAAGCATTCCATGCTGTCCCACAGGGGAGTTTCTCAGTTATGGCTTTCTTGTATCTCCACATCATTCCCTTGGGATTGGTGACCTCTTTCCTCATGTCAGACAAGCGTCCTGATGATATGTCTTGGATGAGCTCATGGCTTGAACTGGAGCATGTCCTGGGCATACTCTGCTGTCATTCCATTTTTCAGTCCCAGGAAATCAGTATTTGCCAATACCAATCCTTTTCAGCTCCCCTGTAATAGCAGAGCCTGAGACCAGGACCAGCTCCACTTCTCCAGCCCAAGGCCAGTTTAGGAAGTCAGCAATAGTGCCTACAAATAGCTGTGGTTTGTGCCTGGATTCTGTAAAAACGTGTCAGACAAATTTTTTTAAATGGTTTAATGGTATAAAAACACTGTTGCTTTATACCAGGCTCTTCCTGCTTTAAAAAGACCATCTGAAAAATGTCTTGATGACTTTCTATGGAGAGAAAGGGGGAACTGAGTGGTTAGCATGTGAATATGTGCTGCTTTTCAAGAGGTGACATGATAAGATATAAAGATTTGACACATTCATGACATTTTTTCCCTCCATTAAGACAGACAGTGAACTCAGAGACTTAAAAGCATGTTTGGAGAGAAGTTATTCCTGCCTTCTCTGTTTGAGCCCTGGCTGCCAGGCTGGAATTCCAAAGATCTGGCCTTCCTCTGCCCGTGGTCCCAGGAGAACTCCTTGGATGCTGCTTGTCTCTGGGTTCAAAGGAAGCTCTGTGCTCTCTCCTCAGGGCCGCCCTGAGCTGACTCCCACAGCCATTGCTGCAGGCAAACTGCTGGCCCAGCGCCTCTTTGGCCAGTCCTCAGAGCTGATGGACTATGACAACGTGAGTCCTTGGTTCTTCCTTTCGATAATAAAAATCTTACATTGTTTTTGCCTTAAGAATTTTTAAAGGAGTTGCATTTTGTCCCCTGGAGTGCAGCTCTGACAGCTGATGTGTGTGCCAGAGCTGCACTGCTCAGTCCTGCCCAGGGTGCTGGGGTCTGTCCTGCAGCTGCTCCCCGTGTGCCCAGCAACACCCCGTGTCCCCCAGTAACACCCTGTGTCCCCAGCAACAGCCCTGTTCCCCAGTAA